GTGATGTTTTAAACTTCATTTTAAAGGAAACTAATTATTTATATAAATGTCTTATGAATTCCATTCAACTCTTTTGGCTATTTCTATTACTTATACCATGGTATAGCGAGTATATAATGAATCATTTTTATTTTCATTCATATCTATTTTATTCTTTGATATCAATCTCCTACGATACATTAGTACTGCACTGATGAAACAATCATTGAAATAATAATTTAATTTTCTCAATTATTATCATATTGTGCAATAAAGGTTTATATTTTTTAGTTTCATTGTTCCAACATGAACTCTAATTTATAGATGTTTCAATTGTACAAACTTTTTTTTGGTATTACCTTTTATGATAATCCAACAATAATCAAAATTAATAAGATATATGATATCAATAATCATATAATATTCATATTACAAGATGTTGGATGAATTTTAATATAAAATTTATACATCTCGACAGGCGGAAGGGTGGTATGAGAGATCATACAAAGAAAATAACAAAATACATAAAAAAGTATATATTTATTTTCTGTCATTATTATAATATAATATGATCATTACAACATTTTATATAATTTATTCTATAATCCAATCATACATATATTCATTTTTACATTCATACTTGTTTTGTAATTTATTTATCTAGATTTTTATATTATTCTTTTAACTTAATTTTTAAATTATTTTCTTCTTGGTCATATTTATCTCTTTGGGAAGCCCGTTGAAAATTTCATGGCTCCATATAATGTTAATCCTAGTTTTATTTCAAAATATAAATAATATAAAATTTATTCATCAAAATTGTAACTGCTTAGTCAATGAATTTTAGTATTAGTAGTAATTCATTTATTTAATTTGTTTATTTAGTATATATTTTTAGTTTATAATATTAATTTTGGTTAATTATTTTTAGGGCTTATTTTGAAGGGTATTTTAATATGCTTTATGATATATGCAATATGGCTATGTGGACATTTTACTTAAAAGCTTTAAATGCATCCTGTAACACAATCGTCCCAACAGTTACTAGTGCGGCTGCTAACTACATATTATCTGTAAGACTTAATATAATGATTTAAATATATTTTTTTCACTTTACAAGATATTTGTTATACCAATAGGCACTATTGTTTGGTACTATGTATTTGATGAATCTATGTCATATTTATGGTGGCTTGGCTTTCTTCTAATAATATTTGGATTGTATTTAATATGTGCAAATTATCAAGAGGATCCCCAATTGAACAATAAATCGGAATGAATTTGTAAGTAATGTCATTATAAATTGTTGATATAGTTGATTGTGGAAGTATACAAGTTGAGAATAAGTTATCGTTACCATAAAAAATCAAAAGAGTATTCATAGTTTTTTATCTGATTACTAGTTTCTTCTTTTGTCTTTTGTTAAGAGTGTTTTTGTAATTTTATTATTAAATTTTTAAATAAGGATTATATATTATTTAATGAATTTGTAAGATAAAATAATATAGAATTATTATATAAATGATTAAAAATACATACTGTACATATACACATAACACCGTTATTACTACTTTTTAGTTTTCAGTCGTACAGTACTAATAAAAAAATCAGAGTTTAAATGAAATGTAAAAATAATGAAATTAAATTAACAAAGGTTTGCAAGTGTAATATATTAATTTATTTAATTTTTACATTAGATATTATTGATCCAACCAAATTTTTATTAACTAAAATACAAAGCAAATATAAAAAAAAATAAAATTTATAAAATACTTTCAAACATTTATAAATCCATAAAAGCTCCTATATACCCAAAAATAAATTTTGTTATAAAATTTTCCTATCACTCATCAAAATATTCCATTAAATCACCTAGTTTTTCTACATAAAAATCAGGTACAAGTTCTTGTTCTTCAGGTTTATTAGAAATCTTCCATGCTTCAACTTCTTCTAATTTGGTTATACCAGATAAAACTAATAAAGTTTGAAAACCATTTCTAGTCCCTAAAAGTATATCTGTGTTTAATCTATCTCCGATCATGAGGGTCCTTGCGGGATTTAAACCACGCCTGATTAAAGATTCAGCAATATAACTTGAGGGCTTTCCTAGAACTGTAGCCTTACGTTCTGCACAGGTTTCTACAGCTCGTACTATGCTACCACTTCCTATGATAATGAAATAGAAGAAAATTTTAAATGTTTTAAAGATTAACAATAAAATAGTGATTTTGAAATTAAGATTATTTCAGTATTAGTTTTTAGAGCTTTTGAACTACCTGGTAGAATTATGTTGGCTTTAGATGGATATCTTTCATCTGTATTAGTGGCAATAAATAAACACTCAGGATTATCCAAGAACTGGCAGCTTTGATCATTTTACAATAATTGAAATGTTCATCAAAACCTACAACTACTGCTCCGACATCAGGATCTTGTTTCAAAGTGGAAATATAAGTCGCTAGGTCAGTATTCATTTCATCTTTCTATTAAAAATACAATTTAAAGTTTGGGAGTTCAAATATGATCATTTTTATAACAATTATTAAATGTTACATATTTAAAAATAATACATACACCAATAGGTAGATGATCAATTCCTGCCAGTTCAATTTCTTTTGCAATACCTTCGGATCCAATTATGTAAACTTTTTCTTGAATCCCAGTTTTTCAAATAATCTGCAGCCAAGAATGATGTACATTGTATTCATCCTATAGCGAGATTATAAACATCCAAATCAGTTAATAAATGGGGTGATAGTGTAATTCAGTTTACAATAGGATTCTTTATTAAAAGATACAAAAAATATATTTTATTTATGGCTAATAAATGATCTAAATGTACCGAAACATTCTCATATAAACTATTATATATAAAACCATGGAAACATGAATAAATGTATATAAATTATTTTTAATACATCAATAGTATATTTATAAAAGAACATATATAA